TATGATCAACACAATTTGGAAACAATTCAGAGACACACAACAAAAACAACAACCAGATAGTTCAACAGTACCTGGTGGGCTATACAATTTCCAAACTCTTTTTTAAAGTAGAATGTCCCAAATTCCCAGAAAGGCTATCATGTACATCTAAACCATGCTTACCACTCCCTCCCTCCATGTGTGATTCTAATTTTTCAGCTGAAGAAAACAGCTCTGTCTAATGTTAGATAAAGAAATGATCACACATACACATGCACAACCCAGACAACCACACCCCAGGAGCATTATCCCTTGGTCTGAGGGCCCTCATCCTCTTCTCTTGGTCCTCTTTAACAGTGGAATGGCTACTATAGACTGTTTACTATTGGAAGCAGAGCTTGGAAAACTCTCTTCCTATGTGTTCTTTGAAGTAGTAATTCAAAAAGTGTTAAAACCAGAGCTGAGAAAAGCTGGGATCCTGCCCTCCTCCCCCGCTGATTCAACACAGAGCTTTAAAAACTTAATTTCCATCTGGAAAAAATATTTTCACATTTGCTAGAATATTTAAATTACATGCTCTGCATGGCTATGGTTGATGATCAATATATCATACTTTAATACATCAAACTGTGGGCATCCTTAGATCTCAAGCTCCTGATCTGGCAACCCTAACAGGAGTGGAAGTCAGGCAGCCCTGCAAGATGTGTTGGATTGTAACTCCCAGCAGTCCTAGCCAGCACAGCCAAAGGTGAAGCATTGTGGGAGATGCAATCCAATAACATCTGGAGGGCCACATGGTTCTCATGCATACCTTAGTTGGAATAAGGTATCACAAACCACAGTTGGGTACAGTGAGTAGACACAAAGAAAACAAAAACTTTATGCTGTAGTACTAAACACTTGAAAATAAGCACCTCTAAACACAGCGAGGCTTACTTATGAAATTACAATTATAAAATTGCAAGGAACAGCTCTTTTAAAAAATATGGTTAGATCAATAGATAGGTATAATATATATATATATATATATATATATATATATATATATATATATAGATCATAATGAGAATTTAATGCATAGTATATAACTGTTTGCCGTTATGTGGCATATGGCTCAGTACTCCACAGTGGTTCTCCAATAAGTAATTATTTTAATTAATTTAAGAATAGCTCATATCTTATTTAGCAAGACACTCTTACTAGACACTTAGTAGACAATATCTCCCTCTGGTGCCTAACAAATACTGCCTTAGCAGCAGTTAAAGATATGGCACAGAAGAGTTCATGTCATTATAACTAATGCTGAACATTTCCCATAAACATTTAGAGCAATGTCTTACTCCTCACCACCAGAACCTTGCAACCTTGTCATTATGGTTGTGAATTTTTTTTATATGTAATTCAGGGAGTGTTGCCCTCACTCAGAAGTGGGTTTGTTTGTCCTTAGTTACCTCAATACATAGCCAATACCAAACAATTACACAAAATAGTGTTATCGTCCTATTTGTGATTGGCAGGTAATACCCATATGACTAGTCTCAGGATGAAGGAGATGATGAGATGGGAAATGCTGTAGAAGCATAAACTGAGTTAGAGGAATGAATTTTAAATATAAAAATAAGAACAATATTTGAACAATTTAGATGTTGGAGGGGAGGGAGTCTTCCCACTGTAGCACATTTAAAAGGGAAATATTTGGCAAAAGGAAACAAAGACTATAGTTTTCAACCAAAGGCTTCATGGAACCAGTGGCCCTTAAGAACTGATTTGAAGGAAGATGCATAACCTTGTCTTACTAGTTTTCATCATCCAGTGTTGTGGCTTCCACTATGCTTGTTGCTCTTCTGTTCTCTAATTACTTAACAATTTATTAACATCGAGCTTTCACATTAAGATGAGTGAGAAAATCCCAAGGTGCCTTTGAAATATTCACAGACAAGTTTCTATTTGTACAAGCAAAGCTGGTTTCTTAAAATAGATTCCATAGCCTGGAACAGCTCTCAGTTTTGATTTTTTTCCCCTTTCTTTCCTTATTATAAGCTCCTGAATGTGTGCTTTTCCCAAGATGTACAACTGCAGTATATCACAGGGCACAAGACTAATCTTATTTTGTTTTCTACTGAGCTCCATAATCTAGGACTGAAAAGAGCATCATGTCATTTATACATTCAGTGACATTAAGTTTGCAGTCATCAGACAATTATTTGTATCTTTCCTTTTATGACTCAAATTATTTTCCAGGAAAGGCCAATTTGTGTTTTATAGTCATGCATTTAGAAGTCTTATTCTTTTGTTGTGTATAAAAACCGATTGATGCATACAAAAAGTCAAGCAGAAAAAGAACCTGAGGTTGATGTGACCTGCTTTTAAAATTAAATCAAGAAGCAGTGGTTTTGTGATGGACACAAATTGTGTGTGTGTGTTGAGGATGGTGTGTGTGTGTGTGTGTGTGTGTGTGTGAGAAAGAGAGAGGAGGGACTGGAGAGGGGGAGGAGAGATTTACAGACAATAAAGGTTTTCTTGGAATGGTTTGGTGTTGTTTTTTTTTCTGGAAACCATGTAGTTATTCATTAGCTAAAGGCTGCTGCTACATAAATCCAAACACAGAACACAGTCTGTTTCTTTTTATAGGAAGCAAGGTGCAGTAAACTGCCAGTTTACTCATATCTTCACTTCCCCAATTCTTGAGGAGGGAAGAACATATATTGCCCACACCTACAATCCTATATGGGACATGGTGGCTGAAGTGGTTAAGATGCTGCCTCTGTTGATTGCAAGATCAGCAGGTTGGCAGTTCGAGGCCCAGGTGCCGTGCAATGGGATGGGCTCCCATCACTAGTCCCAGCTTCTGCCAACCAGGCAGTTTGAAAGCATGCAAATGCAAGTAGATAAATAGGTATCACTTCGGTGAGAAGGTAAACAGCATTCTGTGCAGTCTTGCTGGCCACATGATCACAGAGTAGTCTCTGACAATGCTGACTCTTCGGTTTAGTAACGGACATGAGCACACCCCTTATGATTGGACACAATGACAACCTTGTCAAAGGGAAATACTTTTACCTTTACCCTTACAATCCAGTGGCGCATCACAACCTGCGTAGTGACTAAACTGTAGATGTTGCAATCTACACTAGCAGTACAAGCTGGGAAGGAGCAAGTGACATGGCACTGAGATTGCCTTAAATTTCTCTGAGGCTTAAAAGAAAAAGAGGGAAGGACATAGAGTAGGTGTTTGCAGACATATTTAGGAGAACCAGTGGGCCCTGGCCCATCCAGATCACTGTCACCAGCAGTAACAGAGGCTGGATGCAGTTAAGACAACAGCTTGTTCTCATTGGAAACACTGGCTGCCAACTGTAACCTGCTGCCACCATGAAGAGTAATAGGCTCTGTGATGTAGATATGTGTTTATGTAGTTGAAAAACCACTGTTGTGTGCCTTCAAGTCTGTTCTGACTTGTGGCCACCCTAAGGCAAGCCTATTGTTGGTTTTCCTTGACAAGAGCTGTTCAGGGCGGGTTTGCCTTTGCCTTCTTCTGAGGCTGAGAGAGAGTGACTTGCCCAAGGTCACCCAGTAGGTTTCCATAGTTGAACAGAATATTCTGCTTTCCTAGTCCAACACTCAAACGAGCATACCATGCTGGATCTTGAAAAACCTCTGGAACACCTTGTTGCTAAGAAGAATTTAAAACCCAGGGTTTGGGCATTTCACTTGCCAAAACAAAGATTTGAAGTTAATGTTGGAGAGATATTATTGACTAGGTGTAAGGAAAAGGAGGAAATTAAGCAGATATAAGAAGATGACAAGGGGAAACCTAAAGATATGAGAAGTCTGCCTCTTTGACCTCTCAAAGCTCCACAAGTTCTTCAGCTGGCTTCTAAGCCTTTATTAGACTTCTAGGGATTTTATAGTAAACATGAAAACCAGACACCTGCATTTTCTTTACATTGAAGGTGAGATTCATTCAGCTCTTCAAATATAACCATATTTTGTTCCCAGCAGTCAGGCTTCATCCCACCAATATAGATATATAAAGGGAGGAGGAAGGATTTGTATTCTATGTTAGTTTATCTTTCTATCTGTATTTCTGGGATGATCCATATCTGAAGTTTTCTGGTTGGCACAAATAATGTTAAAATAATGTATGACAATTATTTTAAAAAAACAATATGGTTAGCAGTTTGAGTGTTGGACTAGGATCCTGGGAGGCCAGAGTCTGAATCCACACTTGGCCATGGAAACCCATTGGGTGACTTTGGTCAAGTCACAGTCTCTCAGCTTCAGAGGCAATGGCTAAGGTTCTCAAAAAAAAAATTTTTTCCTAGAAACCCATGTGGTAGGGTTGCCTTTGTTGTTGTTGGGTGCCTTCAAGACATTTCTTATGGTAAAGCAATGCTATTAGGGGGCTTCTTGTCAAGATTTGTTCAGAAGAGGTTTGCAATTGCCTTTCCCATAGGCTGAGAGCATGTGGTTTGCCCAAGGTCACCCAGTGGGTTTCATGACCAAGCTGGGAATTGAACCCTGGTCTCCAGAATTTTAGTCTAGTGCTCAAACCACTATGCCACGCTGTAAGGGTTGTTTTAGGCTCACCATAAGTTGGAAACAACTTGAAGGCCCAAAATATACAAAATCACACAGAAGAGATAAAACAATCCACTTAGATGAACAAGTCTAAAGCTTTAAAACCCTCAGAGCCAAAGAGACTATAAAAACAGGTCACTAATCCTGGGGATTTCTTTCAATAATATTGGCAACCAAGGTTTTCTCCCTGAGAAGGCCTTATTTGTAGCCATCCATCAGATCCCACTTGGGACATTCAAGCAAGGGGTTCTGATGAGGCATCATTGGAAACTTTATTTTTAGAAAACGGGCACTCTGCATTTCTGTTTATTTATTTAGTAGACTGTTCTAGGGACTATGATGGGTTATACTAGTACTAACAATAAATATATATATTTAAAAGAGCAGTAATTTTAAGAGTGCTGTTAGCCACTCTGGGCTCCTTAGAGGAAAAATCAACCAGTCAAAGAAAAAATTGCAAATAAATATGTTTTATAAAAGCATGCAGCAATCCCAGACTCTTTTCTGAAGTAACTCTGCTTATGAGGGGGTATCATAAAGTTTTAATTATCACCTCTAAAAAAATTGCCAGAAAGTTTTTTTTATTTGTAGTTGTTAACTTATTTACATAGTCACCATCAAGACTTACACATTTCCCCCAGCATTTCTTGATCCTCTAAATACCTGATATTGTAGACGTCTGCAGATTGTGCCTTACAATGGGGTATCATAAAGTAATAATTGTCAGCTGGAAATTATTATGGTATATTGATGACATTTTGTCAGTGTCATCATTGGTCACCAAGTACTTGATGTTGAGAAAATCAGCCCATTGTGTCCTTTATTTTTGTGACAGGTTGTGCCAGAAGTGACTAAAGTGTAAAATCCTCGTGAGGTGCAATCTGCATGTATTCGGAGGGTCAAGAAACGCTGGGGAAATGTGTAAATCTGGATGGTGACTATGTAGAGATAAGTTAATAACTACAAATCAAAACAAACTTTCTGCCAATTTTTTTTAAAGGTGGTAATTAAAACTTTATGATACCCACTCATACACCGTGACGCTTAAATGATTCTTGCAATTATACTCTGTAAGAGTTTGATATTTTTGTCATATATTCTGCCTTTGGACCAGTTCAAATGTCCTCCTGCCTCTTTTTCGTCATGTAATATCCTCATTAATCAGAAACGCTCTGAAGGTCTACAAAGCTCCTTCACATTCTAACCCATTTGACAGCAATTTTGCTTCCTTTTAAAAAGGAATTGGAAGGAGGCTTCTTCTGTCTGGCGGAATGGGCTCCCGAACAAACAGGCACAAATCAAGTGAAGATCTCCACAGTTGTTTTTCCCCTGAATCATGTCTGTACTTTTCTAATAAAAATGTAAATTTTGAGTCATTAGAAGCAAGAAAAAAATCAAAGCTGTCAAATTAAATAATTGTGTATTAATTATGCATTAGTGACAGTTCTTTCACAATTCAATATAATCCTTGTACTCAGTCTTCAGAAAGAGGGCAACAAAAAGGTAATGCAATTTTTCTTAATAATGATAAAGTCAAGGCCAGGCTTTCTCAGAAGTATAATCAAAGAGAGGAATACTTGGCAATAGTTGAAATACAATTGTATTCTAAATGCTGATGAGGTTATCTGCAATTGCTGAAGGGTTAAGGTGTATTTCCAAACAATTGGTTTCTCAGGGTAGTGTATGCAAGTGAAGAGACAGTGTGATGTAGCAGTTTGAGTGTTGGACTAGGACTCTGGAAATCTGGGTTCAGTTCCCTGCTCAGCCATGGAAACCCATTGGGTGACCTTGAGTGAGTCACATACTCTCAGCCCCAGAAAATGCCATTATAGGTTCACCTCAGAGTTGCCATAAGTTGGAAACAACTTGGACACACAACAACAGCATTCCAGTGGTGTAGCTACAAGTGGTAGCAAGGTGGGCAAAATGAAGACACTATTCCCTATAGAAATTCTGCCCCACAAATGACATTTCCCCCAAATCATTCCC